CACATTTGAGTAGAATTACCTCATCAGTTCAAGCTTGAATCTTGCCTTTAAGTCCACAATGGCGCTCGATGGTGTCATCAAAACTGCATTGTCCTTCAGCCATCGTGATCACTAGCGTGGGGTACTTGATCGGAAGACTGTAAAGTGGACCTCGTCAACAAGCGGGACAAACGTTAAAGAATGAGAAGAAGCGTATCACAAAAGTGCACAGAAGTTCAGAATATCGGGCTGCTTTAGGAAGAGTCCCAGACAAATCTGAGAAGCCCTCTTGTTTGCAACGATGGATGCCTTCCCAACGAGGCATTCACCAGAAGGGGCACAGATCAAGTGTGACTGTTGAATATTGTTCGATATTGATTAGCTGGTTGCAATCTGGATTTGAATCTGTGATTTACCTTGAGATTCGGAAATTCAGTAATGCGACCATCCTGTCTCCACACGAATCACTTCGGCAGGCAATCCTCCAACAGAATTTGCGACGCCTAATTTTAAAACATGTGTGCTTGATGTTTGACCAGGAGGGAGATATCCCTGACTGCAACATTTGATGTGTTTCCAACAGAGCCACGAAAATATTTTTCTTCGCTGTTGTCGAAGGGTAGATGCGATTGTGTTGTAACATTAGCGGCATGCCAACAACACCAACCGGGTGGGAGCCAGGCAAATACTCCTTTCGTCTGTTCTCATTGGACTAAAATCTATAATTCATTCAGTCATGTAAAGAATAAAGTTATATTTCACATGGCAGAAGCAAATTTACGATTTTCCAGTTAGCACCAAAAACGCCCTCTTAAGTATTATGGATTGGCTTCCTTGAGGTGTTTTTGTGCCAGGATTCGCCATAATGTTGGCGGAATTCACATCTTATCTTCACCCCTAAAAACGTTTCTACGAGCCCGATCATCGCCTGTATACCGGGAAATTCTTCAGAGCTCCTTATCAACGTTGTTCTGAAAATCCCTTATTTGATGTTGTATATGGGCACTAAAAGCAGTGAAAATTCACAAATATACTCCATATTTGTTTTGCGTTTTTTCTTAAACTTTTCCAGCTACCTGATCGGAATCCTATTGCCTGTGACAGATCTGGGTTTGTGTGCATCGTGGGCTGTTTACTGCGATTAACTAGGAGACATTTCATTTATTTACTCCCAAGGAAGGTTTTGTCTGCATATCCACTACACGATTCAATAAGCCTAAAGTCTCCTCAAAAAGCCACCTTCACATCATGATAATAAAATGTGTATTTTGTTCTAACTGATAGCGAACGTCGAGCTTTCAAATACGCATTACAACGCTGAATAAAATACAACATCTTACTGATTTGGCAACATCACACTCTTTCCTAGCCCTACTCACCTGTTGTCCGTCGGTTTTTTGTAAGTTTGTTCCTTAAATTTCATCTCCAACACTCGTTCAACTTTTATTCAAATTTTTTTCTGGTTTTCACACTAACTGGTAATCATGAGGTTACTTCGAGAAAAGTGAACAATTCAGGTAAAATAGTGGCAAACGTAAAAGCGTTTGTAAACATGTTCCATCTTTGTCCACCAGCGATATCATTCAGTCTCCGTGGGGTACTGAGTGGAGCTTCTGAGCAGGGTCAAGCGAGGCGTCGGGGAAAATTTTGAAATACGACCCCTCCCCCTCCCAGAAAGCCGAAGTCCATGAAACGACCCTCTTCAAAAGCCGAACTATGAAAAGGTTGTTTAATTCTCCCCAAAACTGTTCATAAAAAAGCCCTGCTACCCCACCCTCCACCAAAAAGTCGTTCAAGAAGTACAAAAGTAGAAAAAGTAGCAAAAGTCAAAAAGATCACTGTCAGTGAATCCTAAGCAAAAACGGAGCAAAAGCCAACGAACTGGTCGTGAAAGCATACTGTGATAGCATCTCCTCTTCCTTTACTTCCTTCAAAAGCTTTTAAAAGGCTCGGAAGTTTTGATGAGCTCTTTCGATTTAGGCTAAAGCTATTGAAATTAATGAGAAATAACAAATTTAGATAATTAACGAGGAAAATTCATGATGAGCACGAGTTTTTACACTTTCCGAAGCCATAACTTGCTTCATTTTCGTCAAATTTGAAAAGTTAATATGGCAGACAAAACTAGAAGATTTGCTCTATTCAACGCTTTGTGGTACTGCACAATACGTCCAACCGCCGAAAGGTACTTTCTCGCTGCATTGACTTTCTTTCAACGACTACAGCCTTTTTCAGGGACGATTACGTTCAGGGGGGGGGGCAGAAAAAGAAACATTTTGCCCAGGTCGCACTTCGGCCTTTTTTCTTCGCAGAGATTGCCGTCGTTGACGGAAGTTCCTCAGCAAAATATTCCCTAAATGTCCCTCTATAAGTACACGCAGGCCCTCCTTCACTACCCTCACCGTCTTCAGAATATGACGTCATCTGTCACCGTCGTCGAGCTCAGGGAGGCCTACAGTAACTGCTTCAGCCTGAAGCTCTTACATAATTTCTTGGATCGATTCAACGTGGGATAGTTTCCTAGGGACATTAGCTCTAACTATGCAAACCCCCTCGGAACCCGCCCTTCGGAACCCGTCGTAACGGTACACGATCAGTCGAGAACCAGAGCACCATGTTTCCGGGGCAAATTTTCTGATGCCGTCCACGTAGATGGCCACTATGAAGATTTTCTTATGAAATGAAATGCGCTCTTCAATTCTAAGTTGGGAGCACACGCTTTGAGCTGAGCAAAGTGTGATTAAATCCATTTGAGTCTGGAGAAAAATAGCTTTTCTTTTATCCTCCCTGTACAAAACTGGGAGCAGATGCGGAATGCTTTTCTCTCTCCACAAGTGTAATATTGTTTGGCGATTTCATCTCAACGGTTACATACTTATGGATTTAAAGGCAGCGATTACGATAAGGTGGGAGCGCATCGGGAAGCATATGCACCACACGAATCAGTTACTTGGCTGCCAGGGAAGCGAGGTGTAGCGCTTTCACGACGAAAGGTGCGCTGGTTGCTGAGCAGGACTTCGAAAGCACTCCGCCCCCAAAAGCGATCCGCCCACTAGTTTAGTTGGTGATTTGGACGAGCTGCGTTGCCAGCAGCGGCACAACTAGCAACTCGATTGAGCATGGTTTGGCATGTGCCACCAAACGCGTTGCGCTGAACTCGTTCATACGTCCGCTTTCTGAGCTGTTACCTGTTCATGAGTGAAAACTATCGGCCAAAAAGCCACTGGCGTGCCACTGAGCACAGCCAGTCTCCTATAAACCCTTCTTGAATCTTTCATAATCACTGCCATTAACGCTGAAGACTGCATTTCTTCTTGAATAGTGGATTCGGCCATGTCATTTTACTCGGCCTATTTCAGATTGTTCATGGTTTATCCTGAGTCAAGATTTTCACATAAGAGGGCCGCTGTTTAAGCTCGCGCATAGCTGGGTCCGTTCTGGGACGCGCCGTGTGCTTCACATCCCTTCATATTGGTGGACTCATTTGAAAGATAAAATATCCGTTGGAAAACGTGCGAATTTCGGATTCTTTAACCTTGTCTGATAAAACACTGAGGTAGTAAGAATTACTACGCGGACACCTCTGAATCACGAAAATTTTATGTGGGCGGAATATTGTTATTGGAAATCCTCTGGCCTTCCATGGCATCGATTCGATCCTTGATGTTTGTCCTCCGACAGTGATGATCCTGCCGACCTCTTCCTCCCAGCGGGCCAATACGACCCCACCGGCCACTGTGGACCTGTCGAGGATTCCTTAACCCGCGCTTGACCCTGCTCCCGGCTGTCCACTTCGAGACGATCTCATACTTATTCTTCGCAAATAGTGAGATATTTAATCCCAAGATGAACGGTAGCGCACTCAACCCGTTGTTAATGAAACACATGCACTGGCAGAGATGCATGTTCGCTTATTCAACAAAAGGGAGTCTTTTCACTCTATGTCTTTAATTGGTCAGCGTTCTTGTCGTACCTTGCTGACTACGGCCTTACTAGCCATGGCTCGGTTTTGAGGTTGGGATGAAGTCTTGATTTCTCCGAAAATTTTGTCCTAAAAGTAATCCTGATTAAGAGTTACAAATTCTAGTGCTTTTCCTTGAAAGCGACACAATATTGAGCAATTTCCGCTTCATTCCGCGCTATTTTGGCACCACTTGAGCACCTTAATTTTATCACGGCGGTCAAGGTAAAAACTACACGGAAAGGGTAAGATGATCCTCCTCGTTAGTACAGTACCGACTCTCACCATCGGTCAATAATCGCTACTATTTATGAATTGATTCTTTTTGTTTGTTTCCTTTATTGTATCGGAAAATTGTACTAACTGAGTTAATGTATTGTTATTTCTTCGTTACCGATAATAAATAATAATAATAATAATATAAGGGAATAATAATAATAATAATAATTTAGCAGGACCTATCCTAAAATGCAAAATTTGTCATCAGCAGTGATCCATCCTCTAGTCGATAATTCATTCCTTTTTTGTTATTCACGGGGCCGTTTAGAAAAAACACACATGTTCTTAGACTCTCAGCACAGGGCTCGAATGCGAAATCCGCTCCATGTCCTGAGGGGTCCTTTTGGTAAAATAACGAATAACCAAGAGTCGGAGGAAACTGCAGGGTTGTGCGATTCATTTACAATAGATTTGATTCTGGAATTTTCCAATAGATAAAAGGTACTGGAAGCAATTATTTCTTTTGAAGCTGGCAATTATTTATAAAGCTGCCCTGAAGCTGTTTGCGACGAGAACTACTTGCGCTCACCCTTCCGCTGCGAAACTATAGGTACTTTTCACAATTGTACAATTCTTCGAGGAAAGCATGCTAAGGCCTATTCTCATTTCATGCATGCGCGCTCACAGATCGAGATTTCTTATAAGAGGAGTGCTATACTTCGTCCATGCAGTACTGAGCTCTGGAAATATTCACCTAATGCATTCATTGGTCACAACTTATTCGTCTAGAGCCCTCGCAGCTTTGCATTCAGAGGATTTTCAACTTTCAAAACTTTTTCAGGCAATGCTAAAATTCCTTCTGATTTGTGCGTTGACGTCAACAGTTCTTTCGCTTGGTCTTGGCCGTACGCAATCGTCGGGAGTGAGAGGGCGACTAATATGTGATGGAAAGCCGGCCGCGGGAGTAACCGTAAAACTTTACGACGACGACAGAGGTTTTCGTTCACACTTTTCAAATTTTTAGCCTCTCTACAATAACTGAGTGTTACAAGTACTAATGACAGAGAAGCTCTGAGCACTTTCGGTCAATTCAGACGATGCCTTTGCTAAATCCATAAGTGGTATCCACTTTTTTCGATTTCCCATTCTCGCCAAAAAATATTTATAATATGAGTTTCTCGTCGTATGTTGTTCTTCAAGATTACAAACCCGGGCATCTGCATTCACCTCAAGTGGGCAGTGGAGTCTACTGTTTAGAAAATGTGTTCAAGTGCTGACTTACAGTCCTTCCTAAGAAATGAAATAAGAGCATCTCCATGCATGCATTAAATGAGAGAATATGTGTAGCGTTGTAAGACCAGACATGCTGGATAAAAGGGCCGTCGAGATTGGCTTAGCCTTGGAAGCCAGCCAGAGTTGATGAGGGTTAAAGTGATACATTGCACTCGCACAATTTGTCAGCATCTGTGGATAGCAGTAGGCGGACACTGCTCAAAGGTCATAGCTTGCGCCCTTTACGCTATCGAAAAGTAGTCGAGGGACTACGAATTCAATGCAAGGTGAGTGCGGGAACGTGTGACTGTCTGAAATATGTATCTCACCAAAATCGACGTGTCGGCCAGGGTGGAAATCGTGTCGAGGACATGGTCACATCAGTACGACCCCCCCCCCTCAGATCGGGGTCTTGATACGACCCCTCTAACTTTGATTTGATGTGAATAAGCGAGTTCCATCAATGTACAGCAAAGCATTCAGTTGCAGCGCGGTTTATCCGTGGGTCAGATTTGCCGAAACCCCGCTCGAAACCGTCGAAATCTACACTCTCGATGAAAAGGTTCCATTCCCCATTTCATAACCTTTGGAGCAGTATGTGGTAGGGTTAGATAGAGCTGGATTTGCTACTACCGGGCAATATTGAAATTGATCTAAAATCTTCACTCGAAGAGATAGGGTCTCTCAAATTTTGTCGAGGAGCGTCGAGGATGCTGAATTTTTCATGCGAGTTTTTGCCACTTCAAAGGCAATATCTCTCTAATTTCGTAAGACCTGAAAAAGGGAAGATAGTTTTGGAAAGCGGAAGGTTTGCGCTTTCTAATGGTCTGTTTAGCTTTCTTCTACATTTTCTAGTTGAGGAGATATTTGCGTCGAGGATCTATCGAGGACGGATCCCGGCCACCTAAAAGCCGCTCCCTTCTTCACCATTGCAAGTTAAAGGCAAAAGTCGGGCTCAATAAGGGGGTATTATGGCGATTGAAACTGAGTATAGAGATGCGAAGTGGAACGACAGTGGAGAAAAAACTGAGAAAAACCGTCGACAAGGCCGTTAACAAAACCCTCTTTCCCACTAGCAGTGAAGGAGGCTGGCTTGGGAAAGAGGCACGTACAAACAAGTTTTCTGGAGATGTCAGTCGTTCTATCGGTTGATACGGCAATCAACCTAGCTGATTTCACACGTTATGCCAGCCACGCACCACTTCCGGAGGTGGGCGGTCCCGGATTGACAGGCGGCCCCGGATTGAAACCGACGGCCCCGGGGGCTTAACGACGTTTTTCAAGGTGGGAAGTTGCTGCAATGTGTGCAGCTACCCACATACAACCTCCAGGCACGGGAATTACTTCTCTAGCGTGCCTGAGCCCGACCTTTGCCTTTAATCCGTTGGTAACTCTCGAAACGTGCCTAGAGTGCCTAGAATAAATTCTCCCAACATAAGCGACAAGAAAAGGGCAATCGTCATCGTCCGATCTCGTCTCAGTATAGGCCATGCATCCGACCTCCACTCAAGTTGTAGAATCTATTGAAAGGTGTTATACATATGATGATGACCTGTTGGAAGTGTAACACATCTCGTAACTCCTGTAACCTAAGGAACAGCTTCATTTGTCCAAGCCTTCTTAAACTATTGTCGTTTTTGCTACAGCGTCCCTAACAACAGTGTCATTCTCAACGAGGTATTGAGGGCGAGGAGCGGGCGGTATGTATATGGGGAAATGCCTTCGGAGCGCGTGTGCACATTTGACCCTGTTCTTTTCACATTCATTCTTTGTAGTACTTCCAAATACTTCCTTCTCGGAGGTAGAAAGACGGAGTGACTGAATCTTCGAAGGATATTTTATATCGTTTTTCTCACGTCCATGGTTTTTCTGCGCTGCACACTCTCCTTAGTATCTGCACCACGATGCTAGTGACGTTACTGTCCCCAACGAGTACACCCCAATGACCAGGGGAGAAAATCGGGTATTAGTCCTGAGGACTGTGGTCTGCAAAAAGTCCCCCCTTAATGCTCGAAGTCCCGCGGGTTCGCGCCCGGACACCCCAAACAGATCATTCCGCAATATAGATTTAGTCAATTATATTACAAAAAAAAAAATATCACATGGCAAAATTTCTGTGTTTGTTACACAAAACATTAACCTCACCCATGCTGTTTTCTTTCATCGCTGCAACTGTTGCATATTTTGCTGGAGGTAAGAGGGCTTGCAGGGGGGGAACAAAAAAGAGGGCGGCAGCTTTGATTATGATTTCAAAGGCGGGGTTCCTGTATAATAAGAACAGAAATCTCTCACAAGGCAATGGTTGTGATTGCGTCTTAATACCAGCTTGAGTATGTCACAACAGCCGAGTGTATCGTTCAACGTTCGATTCAAAGGGAGCTGCGACGCGATTAATCTCTGGACCAGATTTGCTGAAATGCCGAAAAAAGAAAAGAAAAAAAAAGACCGGTCTTAGCTCTACATTTGAGTAGAAGAATCAAGGATTTCAAGCGTATCGGTTGCTTGAGAAATGGTGAAATTACAGCGATTTCACCCATTGAGAAAGCTAACATACTAGCGGACCATTTCGAGTGAGTGTTTTCCAAGAAGACGATGGAAATATCCCTAAATATGTTCATCCCATAACTAATGCAATGAGGGATTTTCCATGGTTTACAGCTTCCACACTGTACGATTTAATCATGAAATGGCCTGGTACATCCTCACTTACTCCTGATTTTATACCATTCTTTGTTGTTCAGAAAACGGCTGATGTTATTTGCGGTCCTCTGGCATACATATTCAATCAGTCACTCACATTTGGTGAAATACCTTCGAGATGGAAGCATTCTTTCGTCACACCTATACTGAAAAAAGAGCCTTCATGGCACCCAGAAAACTACCGCCCTGTAAGCATCACATCCCTATTCTGTAGACTCTTTGAGAAGGTTTTAAAAAATCACATTAATCATCATCTACTGATAAATAACGTTATTTCAAAGCACATCAGCACGGTTTTTTTGGGTTTTCCAGAGACCTGTTCTGTATGATTGTGGTATTGAAACAATATTGATGAATAGCTTGACATGAGCTGAATCCGAAACTCTAAAGATAATAAGCACCGTGCATGTGAACGTCATTTACTTGACTTCGCAAGGCTGCGGTTTGACACGCCAGTTCACACAAAAAAAGTGAGTATATAAGCTACGAGATCCTTGGTGATCAGCCCGGTCTTATAATTTCAAATGGATTTCGATCTTATCTGAAAAGGTGTGTACGAACGTTTCAGAGTTTTAAAATTGCATGCAGAATTCAGTTTCTGACATTAAACATGTGAAAAGTGTGGTACCTCAAGGAGGTGTACTATCACCGATACTGTTTAATATTTTCACAGCCGAACTTCCTTTTATGCTCCAGGAAGCAGGCGTCACTGCAAAGGTTTATGCTGATGACTTGAAAATCTATAAGCCTATACTGAGCATCGGTGATTTTCATAGTATGCAGAAGGCAGTCGATGCAACAGTACGCTGGTCTGAAGAATGGCAACTACCCATGTCTCCACATAAAACGGTGTACATGCAGTTAGCTGTCGGCATTCCACCCTCAGTGAACTCATACACTGTTAATGGGATTCCCCTCTCTGCTGTACAGTCAGTCAGAGACCTAGGTTTTCACTACAACGATAAATTAGATTTCTCGGAGCATATAAAAAGAAGGGTTCAAGCAGCCCATTTACGTACATTTCAAATTTTCAAAGGGTTATCTTTGGCCAATCAAAAAGCATTACTACGTGCATACAAGTCTTACGTAAGGCCATTAGTTGAGTCCAGCACTACAGTATTCAACCCCTTCAAAAAGAAACACATCTACGCAATTGAAAAAGTTCAAAATATATTTTACACGTAAACTATTCATTAGAATGGGAGGTTTCCAGTACTACTATAATATACCGAACGCGGCTACCAGGAATAATAGTCGCGTCTCAATCTTGACATTCTCTTGAATGGATCAGGCGCCACGAGCACGACAGGCAGAGTGTTTGACCTATGTTTTGTTCATAAACTGGTACAGAATTATTATGTGTCTGGATTTTCCAATGTCTTCAAAATGTCATATTCGAGAACTAGAGGTGGATCCATGAAAATATCATTAACGCGACCCAAGAGTAATGTGCGTGCTAAGAACTTCACATATAGAGCCGGTAGTGATTATTTGAATATAGCGAAAAATATACCCGCTACTTTAACAAAAGCACAATTCAAGCGACGAATATCTAATATATTACTCAGAACTAGAGGTTCATAGCATTTTTTTTGAGACTGATTACCAAAGCTCGTTGTTCTTAAAAATATAGGTGTTTTGTAGTTATTTCTTGTTCAGTTCATGTGATTCATAATGGTGTCAATCATTTCTCACGTGTGCCTTATGCAAACGTAATAAACTTATACTTATACTTATACACCCTCGATCCAACGTTCCATTCCTCCATTTTCCATTTAAATAAACAACTGGAATAAGTTGAGATAGTAACTAGATTTGCTTTCTTCTATCAGGCCATGACATATTCTGGAATTGTTTATTGAAAGCTTGCCATCGAGAAAGAGATATAGTCTCTCGAAATTAGTCGAAGGATCGTCGAGGATGCCGAGATTTTCATGCGAGTTTTTGCCGATTAACCCTTTGACGACCGCCGTTATGAATGCGTCACTTCACTTCTTTCTAATTTTTTTCATCAATAATCATTAACTTCTCCAACAATTTCACTACTAGTAATTAGCGCATTATTCCGCGAATTCGATAATGTATTTGTGTAGTTTGAAAACGTGAAATGCCAAAAAAATGCCAGAATAAACTCCTAAAAACGTGTCGCCACCGAGCGAACGTGTGGCCCACCGGCGGGCCACACGGATCGTTCAAAGGTTTTTTTTTGTTTTTTAAAAGGCAATATCTCTTTAATTTCGCAACAACAAAGGGAAAAGTAGACGACAGCTTTGGAAAGCGGAAGGTTTGCGCTTCCTAGCGGTATGTTTAGTTTCACAAGAATGCTGGGTTGTGAACAAAACTTTCGCCCCAGGCGGGACTAGAACCCGCACCTCTCGCTTTCCGGGCAAGTGCGCTACCAGTTACGCTACCGGGGCACCATTTCATTCCAACTCAGCTTTTCATGGTATACGTACCATAGCTTTCAGCACTCACACGTATAACGTGTTGAGCCGGTTAGCCGATATCGGCAATGACCGCGAGGCTGAAAGCTTTAGCAATGAATTTTGACTTGTTTTTGTTTGTTAACTGCTGTTTTTGGCCGCAGTTCGCCTTGCGAATGTTTCACAAGAATACTGGTGGCTATTATCAGTTGTTATCAGTTTCTATCACGTACCACTTGTGTCCCCATCCCACCCCCTATAACATATGTAAGAACCACTGCGCTATCGTTACTGTGACTCGAGCTATGAATTTCCGGTCAAACACACACCAACAGACACACGCTAGCCGCTTATATATAGTAGGATGTTTATGTAATCGATCAAATTTCTTGCTGACTCTTCTCATTATTGAATTCGGTTTCTGTTGCGGTTCCAGCTTCACGAAAGCTAAGAGCGTAGCTTTTGTAATTATGAAAGTGAATGCGTAGCATGTTATAACAAATAGGTAAATTAATAAATATGCAGACTGAATAGCAAGTTGTTTTTTTTGAGGTGTTGACGCTGATGATCTAATGGCGTCCGGAAAAACGAACTCTCAGGGCGAGTTCGAATTGCGAGGCTACACAGAAGAGTTCACACCCATCGATCCAAAACTCAATATCTACCACGACTGCAACGATCTAAAGGTACAGCGTTCCCTTTTCATTTGTAATTTTTAATTGACTGATTGTGAGAAATTGTTTGCTGGGGAATGTTGGCGTCTTAAAATTCACAACTATGTTCGCTAGATTGAGAACAATCCGGAATAAAGGAAAAGCATAAAAAATGAAGCATTTGCCGTTGATCAATCCCATTTTGGGATGCGGCACGCATTCTACTTCCATTTGTACATTCGTAGTGGCATTTGAATGCGATTCACCAGACAAGTCTAGTACTAATAAACCGACCCGGGGAGGGTTTTGAAGACTTAGTTGTCTGCCTGGACGACGCACGGCCCAGGATCAATCCCCGGACCAAGCGAGTGATAAGCTACCACTTGCAAATACATCACTGCCGCCCATTAATAAAATGAGGAAATCAAAATCTATAATATCTGTTCAAGCGCTCACCTCTGTATGTATTAGGTTGTCGGAAAAGTCTTTGGCCATTTCAGTCTACATGTTGTAAAATCTGCAAGGATAATTTTTGAACATTACGTATGAAAACGTATGTAAACCATAGTCGATGAGGCTCTTCGGAGCATATCACCGTGGCACTTTGCAGCGATTGGGGCTGAGAAATCGTCTTTGACTGAAAGCATGTTTGGCTGCTCCTTTTTCTGAAACCCAGAAAACGCGTCAATGGAAGCGATGCGGCAAGAGCTCACGTCTTGCGATGGAACCTCAGAGTGTCTTTCACGACATGGTAAACATTTGGTTGCCGAAGTCCAGAAGCTCAAAAAATGCACAAATTCTGTTGGCCTGTCCCACTGAATGACGAGTTTCTTCCAGTCTTCCAGAGCTGTTTGGGAGAGCCACCGGAGCATTGCACGGAAATTGGAGCAGCTTTTCTAGAGTCATCACAACGCAGTAGCCGTTCCTCAGTATCTTGCCAAAATTAAGAGAATTATGGCGAAAAGAGATTTTTTCTGATATGGATGATAACCGCCATCAGAAGCCTTTAGGCTTTACATGAACATTTTGATTCATTGCCTGTCTCTTGTTTGACCTGGCTAATTATTGGCAGTAATCGGGAGGGGGTACCTCACTCAATGCAGTCGGAAGCTCCATCGGTCACGACGCGTAGAACCAAGGATTTCAGCGCCGATTCCAGCACTGCAACCTAGGAGGTAACTTTCAGAATTGGTGAAGCTCCAAGCGATTCGTTCACTGACAGCTCCTACCAAAGAACTGCACTGCTATTGTTGAACCATAATATGGGCAAATGGATGGGTTCGCCGGCACTATGCTTTAAAACATGGAAAAGTTTACTTTATCCAGGCAACGCTCGTCAACGAATTTGGAAGAAGGTTCAGCAAAAGTCTCCAAGCCCGTTATGGGACGTTCTGTCCCACCTGTTGCGTTCAGCAGACCCGGCACTAACAGAACTCCATCTGCTTCCGTTGCTGTCAAATCAATCAAAAGAGGGAGAGCTTAATGATCCGGACCTATTCGAAGAGGACTTCTTCAAGGTTTTTGCTTCAAAACTCAGTATTTCCAGACAAACGACATACCTGCTAAAAGGCAATATGTTGGCGATTATGGTGGGGCATATATTTGTAGATTGCTCACTGTGCTAAATAAGAAAGGTGAATTAGAAAAAAGTCCGCAAATGGCCAAATACTTTTCCGGCAACTTAGTATTACACTGTTACTGTTTGATATTTATTTTAGATATCAAACATACTGTTTGATATCTAAAATATCAAACATGCCCCGCTAAGTGTCGGTGCAGAAGGAGCAGGAGGATAGGACACCGTCTGATCACATCCAGCGGCCAGTTTTATTAGAGAAATCCAACCCTTGGATGCAGCTCTGAAACCGCAACGGCAAAGGTCGTGGCGCTTTCGCGACAGCGCGTAAACATGCTACTAACCACAAGATTCTGATGGGAGCTCAAAACATGGATCGCCCTTGGCTCTGTGCATGCCCACCGCGGCCGGTGTATTATCCACCTCATTCCACGGCTAAGCGTGCGTTGAGGAATCCTCGACAGGTCATCGGGGGGGGTCGTATTGGCCCGCTGGGAGGAAGAGATCGGGCCGATTGATGCAGTAGGATCACCGTCGGAGGACAAACATCAAGGATCGAGTCGATGCCAGGCCAGAGGATTTCCAATAAAATGATATTTCACCCACACAAAATTTTCGTGATTCTGAGGCGTCCGGTAATTCTTAGTTACTTCAGTGTTTTATCACCACACAAGTTAAAGAATCGAAATTCGCACGTTTTCCAAGGATATTTTATCTTTCAAATGAGTCCTCGAATCTGAAGGGATGTGAAGCACACGGCGCATCCCAGAGTGGGCTGATTCATTGCGAGCGCTCTTTGAAGAGCAAATCTCAACATAGGAGAAATGGAGATGATTCTGAAAGGGTCCGTGCCGAAGTCCAGGGAGGAGTCCACTATTAAACAAAAAATGCAACCTTCAGCGT